GAGATGACTGGAAAAACCTTCTCTGTCTTAAGACTGCACCAGGACCATAGTTGAGGGAGGTTATTTGTAGTTGAGGGAGATTAGTTACACTTAAGGTATAGTTGAAGGGAGTTTATTGCACTTTACCCTAAGTTATGGGATTCAAACCTATGCTTCCTTGTCTAAGACAACCTCGTCGGAATTGGGCAAACTGTTAATCAGCACTGAATCTGCAGGACGGGCTTCTTCTCTGGCGTTCACGAGTTTTTCCATGTCATTTAACCTTGTCCTTACAACTTGGGTAACCAGAACTGCAAAAGAGAGAGAGAGTAGAGGACAAAGCATTTTAGAGAGAGAGAGAGACAGAGAGAGAGAGAGTAGAGAGAGAAAGCGTTAGAGAGAGAAGGGAGTATACCGGCGGCAGTTCCGAAGGCCCACGCCCAGAGGATCTTCACGCCGGGGGCTTTGTCTCTCAGCATGCTCTGACGACTGACACCGTGTCTTCAGCTATTCTCAAATTTGAGTATTTTTACAGTTATATATATATTTTCACGGTACTTTTTGTAAAAATGAAAATGAATAAATAAATAATAATATTCATGATTTTTTTTAGGGCAATTTTGAAATTAAAAGAAAAAGACAGGTCACGTGCTGCACTTGTGGGCCGTAAAGTTGTCGGAATTGCCTTTCAGATGTTAATTTGTATGATTTGAATAGTTATGGTACTGATTTGTTTACTTTTGTAATCCAAAGAGTAAAATACAGATTTGTTTATTTTTGTAATCCAAAGAGTAAAATACAGATTTGTGTTATTTAAGAGATTTTTTTGGTATTTTTGCCCACAAATATATATATATATATATAAACTAAATGTAAACTATTTGTTTCAAAGTAAACTATTTGTTAGGAACTTGGTAGTTGCATAATTTTCCAATATACAAATCCGTCTAACAAATAGGCAAATGTTAATTTTCTTTGTGGTAGGTAGAGTTGTTTTTCAATGCAAAATACATTTGTGTATCCTTTAAAAAAAAACAATATTTAGATATTAACGTGGGCCAATAACAAATGAACATGTTCTTTAATTACCAAATCAAATATGATGGACACATATTCACTTATCAAACCATCATATCTGATTTGCTAATTAAAATAATACGTGTTCACTTGTCAGGGTAAGAATAATGTACATCTTCACAAGTGAGAAGTGAGAACTAAGTATTGTTCATTACAAAAAAAAAAAATTATAATGTTTTTAAGTGGGACTGTGGGACATTGATTTCAGACGCAATTATTCTTAATCCAAATTAATTTAAGACAAGTTGTGCTATTAGGTCATAAGTGGTGAGCCTCGCAGGACCCTCTGTTTGTGTTGATTACCGCCAAGGGTGTGAAAACAAATTTTCATATAAGACTATAAAAATTTATAAACTTTAATTATATAGTATTAATTTATCACTTTCCCAACCTTATTTAATTGATCACTTTACCAACCTTATTTAAGTTGATTAATGGAGTGAACATAAGCCATACATTCTTCCTATGGTTGAGTAGCAAAAGAGTTGTCGTTGTAAAGGCTAACATTTCCCTCGCCTTAACTTATAAGATAGTTAAATTTTATAATAATTTTTATTTTTATTCGTAAAAATATCTGAACTTAAATAATATGTGTGATTGCATATATTCAATCACACCACAGATTTCAAAATGAGACTAATGTGTTTAATCACACATATTCAATCACACCACAGATTTCAAAATGAGACTAATGTGTGATGGAGATGTGGGTTTTTTAATGGGTCATGAATTTGATTCAAATAAATTGACGGTGGTGATGCAGCTGATCACATGGTGCGTGACGAAACCGGATGCACCGGAAGAGCAGCTGAACGATTTTATAGAGTTTATAGCCGAAGGTGGTAAGAAGGCTGGCTCAATGGAGGAAAATGTTTTCCTCTCTAAATTTTGTGAATATACATTATTGACCTTCTCTCTTATTTGTCAAATTACACTTTCATTTTCTTTCAGATTTATGGGGTTTGTAATTATGTTTTTACTTTTTTATATATTATATTTTATTGTAATAAACTTGTCTTCAAATGGTAAAATTGAAATTTGAAAGTTGCAAAGTTGGTGACATAGTTTTTGTTTTTAAAGGTTACGAATGGGTGATATGCATTATTTATACGGTTAGGTGCATAAAACTCCCTCGTTATATAAAAAATGTGTAAAAAACACCTTTACTAAAAATTAAGTGCATATAAATCCCTGTATTATCAACCTTTTGAGCAAATTACTCTCTAATCATCAATTTTGACTAATTTGTTTATAAAAACCCTAAAATGCCCTTGCTGATGTAACAAAAAAATAAATAAAAATTTTCTCTTTTCCTTTCTCTCTCTAAATGATCTATGAGCTCTCTTTCTCTCTCTAGTCTCTACATAGAAGAACACCTTACATTTTCATCCCGTCTATTTTGATTTCAACAACAACCAATTAACTCTTGTCTAAATATCACTATTTTAATAAATAAATAAAATTTTGTATTATCGTCGAAAAATTACTATTTTGATATAAAAAAAACATGTATTTAGGTAATTTCTAAAGCAAATTGCTTAAAATATATATAATTTCAAGATTATATATATATATATGTATAACTTAAAACTAACACCACAAAATATTTAATTGGTGAAGACATGGAGAGGACGAACAATGAACGTGTTTATTTTGTGAAATTTGAAATATAAAGATTATTGATATTCCCTGAAGATAAGTATTGTCTAGGGGTTATATATATACTTTTACAATAAGATAAATGTTGTATTGGTTTTGGCATCATCTCAATTTGTTTCAGTTTTAGTCTATTATCATGAAGCCTGAGATGCACAAGTTCAATTTTCTTGGTTGTTCATCCGTGCTTGTGATCAGATATTATTTTGATTTAGCCACAATATCATTTTGATCCTTCATAAGCTCACAGCAGCATTTACATTCTAAAAATTAAAAAAAAAAAAAAATTAAATTATATGAACATTGTTATGTATATCCTTGCAACCCCACCTACTCCCATATGTTAGAGGGAGAAACAGAAAGATTTTGCTTCTAAAACTAGAGTTATTATGGGTTGATTGCATCTCTTTTAAAGATTTTGCATCGATATATATATATATATATGACAAGATCAATAATTAAATATATGGAAGTTGCTGAAAAAAAGAAAATAGAGAGAAATGAATATGGAAGTAGCTTGAAAGTGAGTCCTACCCGAAAGTGAACAAAGTGAGAAATAGAGGGGAGAAAGACCTTCCAAAAAAAGAAAAAATAAATTAGAGGAGAGGGGAGATATTTTGATTTTTTATTATTATATTTTATTTTATTATATGGGTATTTTAGATATTTCAATGGCTAAATCGACCTAATGGCCTTATTTACACAAATTATAAAATGCAAGGGGGTTTTATGAATAACGGAGTGAATTGTACATTTTGTATATTATGAAGGGTATTTTTTACACTTAATCCTTATTTATATACCGTATAAATCTTAAAGGAGGTAAATGTAATTTGACAAACAAGAGAGAAGATTAATGTATATTGACAAAACTTGGAGAAATATTAGTATAATTTACCCAATTTTATAATTAGGAAAAACTGTTCTAAGGAATTCTTTATACTTTAATAGAAAATACTTTATATTTCACATAAATTAGAACTAATTTTCATACCAAAAAAATAATAATAATAATAAATAAGAGAAGTTATCGAAATTGTGTATACTTATGCTGTGTGTGACTGCCATAAAAACCACCACTTCATTTGAAAAAAAAAAAAAAAAAAAAAAAAAAAAAAAAAAAAAACAAACAAACACTAGTGATGTGTATAATTTTTTTGTGGTACGAGATCAAGTAATACAATACTCCCAAGAGAAAGTCATTTTCTGACACGAATTAAGTTTTGTCATCTTTAATCTTATGGAATTTTATTAGACAAGATGTGAGTTAATCTATGTATAATAAATATCAGACGCGATATTCACACTCACTTTTTAATGTTTGCACTATAAATTTTAAATGAAATGTTAATTATAACCTTATATTTACAAGTAAATAATCATTAATTTTTAAATAACGCAACTGTCTTTTCATATTTTCTCTCCTTATCTTTAATATTTAATATTTTAAGTATCTTTTGACAACACAAATAAAATAAAATAAATTTTGAATAAATTTTTTTAAGGGACCAAAAAAAATAAAATTTTGTTATGTTGAATAAATTCTCTTTTGGTCTATTAGACAAAAAAAAGTAACCGTTTAAAAAATTATCAATAAATAAATTATCTCTATTGTGAATATCTCGAAAAATTAATAATAATAAAAAATATAAAAGGAAGATGTTTACAAAAAATTTAACTCTATTGAATAAATTGTCTATTTTGATAAGACCTTAAAAAAAATAAAAATAAAAATAAATTAAAAAAAAAAATTAAAGTTGTAAATGATAGTTATGACATTGTAAATTAAGTAATTGTGCATTAATGAATTTAAGGACTTTCTTATCATTTTATTGAATAAAAGTGAAGTGCGAAACAATTAATAGAAGAAGAGACTAACATCAAATACACATCACAAAGGAAACAATTAGAAAATGCCAATTACCAAATACACATTACAAATAATTGTTCGAATTGAATATACCTCATTATTGACAATTTGGTAGCTCTCTATGTTATGTTATTTGGTCAATAAGTGGAGTGGGCCTAAGAAATTTATCCAACATGAGAAGTCCAATAACAACACAAAATAACGCCTGTAATTGAACCTAATTAAAAGCCCAAAACAACACAAGAGACAGCCCATCAAGCCCAAACTGAGCAAAAAAACAGTTGAGGACTATTAGTTCGAACCAGAGAATTCACGGGTTATCAGTGCCTCCCTATAAATGTGTTGTCATCCATAGATGTGTTTCACCATCTAAAAAGTCCAAAACTAAAGCATTCAGAAATTCAAGGACAAGGGAAAGAGCAATAAAGTAAAATTATAATCAAACAAATAGTTAATCATTAATACAGTCACGCTGCTCTGCAGCTAAACCCTAGCATCACTATTTTGCTCTCCTCTCCCATGGATAATGAATGAGGCAGGTCCTCTTCCTACATTTTTCCATTGACAATAAACAGACATTAAAAAGACAGACAATGGACACAATAACAAGCAAACAATAGGCAGATTCGTAGATATTATTGATAAGCTGCAAGCACTCGCAGTCACCTTAAGCTTGGGGCTTCTCCCATTTGAGGGGCTTTACAACCTCCCAGGTGAAGTCAGGGTCATCTCTTCCGAAGTGCCCGTATGCTGCTGTCTTCAAAAACCTGCAACCACCACCCCTCTTGAGGTCTAGATTAATGGAAATCATTCCAGGCCTGAAATCAAAACTTTCCTTCACAATCTTGAGAATCTCCTTGTCCGGAATCTTTCCGGTGCCATAGGTGTCAACAAACACAGACAATGGCTCAGGCACACCAATGGCATAAGAGACCTGCACAATACACCTGCGAGCAAGCCCACTAGCAACAATGCTCTTCGCGGCCTGCCTAACGATGTAGGCTCCACTCCTATCGACCTTGGTAGGGTCCTTTCCAGAGAAGGCACCACCACCATGAGCTCCCCAACCACCATAAGTATCAATGATGATTTTGCGACCAGTGAGTCCTGCATCACCATGAGGTCCACCAATGACGAAACGGCCAGATGGGTTGAGATGGAAGATGGTCTTCTCATCCAGGTACTTCTCGGGGACAACGGGCTTGATGACATGCTCCTTGAGGTCAGCAGCAATCTCATCATTGGTCACAGTTTCATCATGCTGAGTGGAAATGAGAACAGTGTGGACCCTAATTGGGACCATGGCACCATTGTCATTGTAGTACTCAACGGTGACTTGGGTCTTGCCATCAGGCCTCAACCATGGGCATGTTCCATCCTTACGTACTTCAGTGAGACGGGCACCAAGCTTGGTTGCAAGAACATGGCTGAGGGGCATCAACTCCGGGGTTTCATCAGTAGCATATCCAAACATGTGACCCTGATCACCAGCTCCGATCTCCTCAGGGCGCTTGGTGAGGTGACCATGGACACCCTGAGCAATATCAGGGCTTTGTTGTTCAATGTTAACCAGGACCTTGCAGTTGTCAGCATCAAGACCAACATCATTCGAAACAAATCCAATTGTGCGGCAAGTGTCGCGTACAATCTTCTCGTAGTCTATCTTGCCCTTGGTTGTGATCTCTCCGAAGACCATGACCATATTGGTCTTGGTGCAAGTCTCACAAGCAACTTTGCTGTCAGGATCTTGTTCAAGGCATGCATCAAGCACTGCATCAGATATCTGATCACAAAGCTTGTCTGGGTGACCCTCATTCACAGATTCAGAGGTAAATAGGAAGGTCTCCATTCTTCTGCAGACCACAAAATGACATACAAGATGTTTAAAACCTGATGGACTAGAAAACAAAAGGACAAAGTAGCTCCTTAAATAGAAAAGGATAGTGTGTGATTGTGTGGGTGTGTCGTGTGTGAGAGAGAGGAAGGAATAATTATCCATTGCTAGTGGAGTATGATAGACTGAGTGTCACATAGAATTTCAGTCACGTTTATGCTTAAAAGTTGCACTCAAAGTAAAGGTGTGTACAAGATAATTATTCCATAACGGTACTTGGCCTTTCCTCAAAAGGAATTATTCCCACTCATAAATATCAAAATGAAAAGATAGGGAAGCCCAGCTAGAGTTCCACCTCTTTACGGGTGTGGGTCACCCACTGCCAAACAGATTTCTAAATCGGTAAATGAAGAATCATTTATTAGGTACAAATTATTGCTACAATTTTACCACTTCTAGTTAGGGAGTGTTTAGGAATTTGTTCCTAATAACTTAACAAATGAAAATCCAGATCACAAAACTAAAAGTGGATCATTAGGGAGAGACATATACTTTCTGCAAAACTATAGTATTATTCTAGCAAGATGATAGATTAAAGAAAGGAACAATTATTTCTTACAGATCAAGATCAAAATATATTGACAAAAAAAAAAAAAAAAAAAAAAAAGAAGTATGTAAGAAATTGCATTGAAAAAATGGGCCATTATAGCTAAAAATTATAATCCTATAAAATGAAGTTCACAAGCTGCACAAAGTGCTTAAATGGAGAAGAAAGGAATGGCTATTAAAAAATATAATTAAAAATAAAAAATAAAAAAAAGCCCATAGCATTCATTTTTGATCCTGCAAACAGAGTGCTTGGGGGAGAAGAGAAGACTGATGAAAATTAGCCACCCTGTACAAGCAGTGATATGATCAGATCTGTCAAATCTAACGGTTGTTTCCCCTATTAGGGCACAAAGCTACTGCCAGAATATCAAATATTATGCACCATATACGGTAATGAGATCAGATCTGTCAAACCTATCCAGACAATATTGGGAAAAACAATGGAACATGAAGTGAAAAGAAAAAAGATTTACAAGTCCAAAAAAGGAAAATGTTGAATATTTTATCAATTGCAAAAGGTTCAGGAAACATATATCTGACACATACAAATCAGAGTAAAATTAACCATATTTTCTTTTAATCTAGAAAGTGTCCAGAAAACAAATCCAGAGCATCAAACTAAACGAACAACAGAGAGAATTTGACAGACACTGGTAAATTAAATTAGATCCACTTATATACTACTTATATATAGCCACTATAAGATATAGTATGATCTATGAATATCAAATTCGAATATGTCAAAACCGAAGATTAGATCCCGTTTTGAATCAGAAACGTTACTCTGTGAAAACACTACAAACTGCAATTGCAAGTTTCAAGCATATAGATCAAGTGTGAACAAAATGGAAACAGCATAAAATGACTCAGAATCAAGCAATTTCAAGCATGTCATCGTCACAAACACTCAGATCTGTAATCACTTCCAAAAATTTCACAATCAACTAGCATAATCACGGATTTTGAGTAAATAATCTATACCAGAACTTGTTGAAAGAGAAATCAATTGAATGACAAATGTACCTGAAATATGAACGAATGTAAACCCTAGAGAGAGAGAGAATGGAGAGAGAATCAAGGGTCCCTCTTTTGCAAAATGCTTGCGAGTGCTCTTACGCTGGGACTTCGGAAACGTATATATAGAGAAACGGTCGGGAATCTGAGTGCTTGGATCTAGGAAAATGGTAATTTTTTTTTTAATTTTATAATTATTAGTAGTATTTATTTTGTGGGGTCCAGATTTAGTGGTCGTTGTGTTTTGAGGACTAGCCGTTGGATGGTTGAATCTAGCGGCTGGGATTGCTTGGGGTGGGTGATAAGTGGTACCACATACTACTACATAAATATATATGATAATAATATATATATATATATATATATATATATATAGATATATATATTTCCCGCGATTTACCTTTTTTTTGGGCACTCTGCGAGCGTTCACCAACCGACGATGTGTTAGTTGGCTTGACGACTTAACTTAAAACAGCTTGGCTTTAGTTAAGTGGAGATTTGTTTTCAGTGGTTGATTTTGTTGAACATTGATTATGATGTGAAATCACATGTGACTCGACACGAATCCAAATAGACACGATCATCCAAATCGTTTTATTTTATTTTGTTTTTAAAAAAATTTAATAATTTAATTTAGAGTAGTGATTTAGAACGGAAATTATGGCATTCATTTATATGATAGGGTCGTGGTCCTATCATAACATATTATACAATAGGGTCATCACCACAGTTATAAAGATTGAATTCAATTTTTAAATTATTATTCTTTAATTTATGCTATGTTCGGTAAAAAAAAATTAAATAAAAAGGAGAGAAGAATGGATAGATAAGACATCCCTATGCAAGAAATTGTATATATATATTTTTTTATTCGGTTCAGTTGTACAGAAAAAAAAGAGAATAAGTTCATAATTTACTATATTCAAAAAATGAAAATGAAAATTTTAATTGGTTATTTTTTTAGGGATAAAAGTTTGTAAAGGGAGAAGGATGGGTCATATTTCTTATTTTTATTTCTCTACGAACTAAGGAAGTTCGTTATTCCTTCTTATTTTTCTTTCTTTCCTTGTATTATTTCTACCGAACAAAGAAATTTTATGCTTGCTTCCTATTTTCTTTTCTTTCTCGTATCATCTCAACTTAACAAAGGAAGTGTGTTTCTTCCTTCCTATTTTTCTTTCCTTGCATCATCCCTACCGAACAAAGAAAGTTTGTTTCTTCCTTCTTATTTTTCTCTCTTTCCTTATATTATCTCTACCGAACAAAGGAAGTTTGTTCCTTCTTCCTATTTTCTTTTCTTTCCTGGTATTATCTCTACCGAATAAAGGAAGTGTATTACTTCCTTCCTATTCTCCTTTCTTTCCTTATATCATTTTTACCGACAAAGGAAGTTTGTTCCTTCCTTCTTATTTTCTTTTATTTTCTTGTATAATCTCTACTGAACTATTTTCTTTTCTTTCCTTGTTTCATATCTGTCAAACAAAGAAAGTTCCTTCTTTCTTTTTTATTTTTTCTCCGCATTTCTTTCTTCCTTCTTACACAACACAACACAACACAACACGCGAATGATCGTAATTATTATTTTATACAGTAAGGTAAATTCAACTCCACCTCAGTTACACCCTTGTCGTAGTTAATGGAGGTGCTGTGTGATTATGCTCAAGAACATGCGGAGAGGCAAACAGATCCATGCCCAATCCATGTACAGTGTCACCAAATTTGCAAACATATCTTCCATCAAAATTACAAAACTAGACATGTTCGTCCACATACTTCTGATATTGAGCCGATCGAGCGGCCACAAGTTCGACTCCGGTAATTAAGTCACGTGCCTTACAAATTATGTAATTGGTGTCTTGAATCTCGACTGTTTTCGAGTTTGAATTTATGATGGTCGTATTACAAAAGGACTTGGTAATTGGCGTCTTCAACCTTTTGACTATTATTGAGTTTGAATTTACAATGGTCATATAGAAAGAGGGTTTCCTGATTCCCTGAACTTGATCATCAATAAATTTGAAATTACAAAGACGCCCCGGATTAATTAAAGTCACATGTTTAATGTGCATGGATTTAATTAGCCCCAGACATAATGCAATGGGTGCACCAAATATTTATTTATAATTGTAGTGGTCCCAATTACTTGAGTAATTACACGTCCCAATAATAATAATAATAATAATAATAATTACACATGCAAGTATTGAAATCACTCTAGGCTATTCATAGCAGACGATTCCACTTCGGTCCGAGTTTGGAAATTGATGTCTTGGATTTAGACTATTCTTGAGTTTGAAAAGGTCAAATATCAACACATCACGTGAGAGAGTCCAAGAAGAAACTACATGGACCCACGTCCACATCATAATTGCAGGAAAAAATAAAATCATGTTGGTAAGATATATGTGTGTGTGTGTGTATTTTTATATCATGGCATATATCATGCCATGCCACTCCACTTATATCATGCCATGCCACTCCACTTACCATCACATGGTATATTTCACATAGCTCACATATCATGGTATGCTTGTCACCTACCCTTTTGGGTAATAGATTTCAAAAGATCAATCAAGTATTTAGGACATCCCACTTTGGAAGTCCACCTACCCTTCTGTGATTCTCACTCTTCTTCTTCTTGTTTTTTTTTTATCCCTTTGATGGGTCACTTTATAATTCTTTTGCTTTAAAATGATAAAATAAAGGTTATAGATTTACCATTCACTTTTATTGGTAATTTAATTAAATTTTGTTTCATGCATTCCCAAAAAAATAAAATTGGAAGAAGTCCAGTTTCATGCCATATGTAGATTTGGGTAGTTTTAGAAAGATTATATTAAATTTGCCAAATGAAAAGTTTTAAAACCGGCCCTAAAATTATATCTTTATTTATTTTTTACTCTTCAAATTTATTAAATTTTCTTTTAAAAAAATAAATTAAATTTTTATTTCTCAATTGAAACTCTTAACTTTTTCCGTTTTAAATTCTCTCATTTTTCTTTTTTTACTTCTTAACATTTTTTTTTTTTTTTTAACGTGCATATTTGAATAGTTTTCTACAACTTCTTTTGTATTTTATATTTATTATGTTGTATGTATGCATATTTTGCATCGAGCTCCTGATTTAAAAACGTACCTCCGTCCTTGAGCGTAAGTGTCCTAAAACGCCATCCGCATGGCCATTAAAAAAGCCAATGGAACAAATTAAGCCTACAAAGCCAAGGAAACCCAACCTGGCAACCATGCGGCCAAATCTTTCCAGGCAAACAATTATCCTTGGAATCAAAAGAAAATCATGACATCACGCCTGGTTAATAAACTTGGAGGATATCACTCCCGAGTTCAAAAGAAAACCCTTACTTTGCGCCAAGTCCCATTACCCTCTGGTATAAAAACTCTGACATTATGATAAATCACTAAACCACAAGAAAATACCTCTCAGTCCAAAAGAAAATCCTAATAGGTTATCGAATCTCAAGGGTATACCCTCGTGTCTACTGAAAACCTGAAATCATTCTAGGTCACCACACCTGGGGGTGTACAAAAAATCATTGAAATCAGTAAACTGGTATAAACTGAACCGTTGCTTCGGTTCGGTTCTTTGTGGTTCGGTTTCAATTTTAATTCTAGGTCCGTAAAAAACAAATTGTAAATTAATATATATATATATATATTCATAATAATTAATATATATCATAATACTAATAAATAATGATGTAACACATGTCACAAAACTTTATTTGCTTTGGTATTCATGAGATTGGTAGTGAGTTTATTCCCACATTAATATATATATATATATATATATATATATAAAATCAAAAAGTAACCAGATTGTTTTCATGATATTATCAAAAGAGAATTGTGGATCAAAATCGAACCAAAACCAGTCTTTCAATTCGGTTCGATTTTATGTTTTAACGGTGTTGGTTCCTATTCTAATTTTCTAAGAACAGTTGAGAGTGACTTGATTCCGATTTAGCCGGGAACCTTCCCAACCTCAAGAATATATATAGTCACATGGCGCCTTGTGACCTCAAGCCAAAGTCTTCTTGCATGTTTTGATTTATTACATGGGAAGGATTCTGGAATATTAGTGGGTGATAAGTCAGAAAATGCTTAACACAAGTAATAGGACTGGCTAAAGGAATAGTGAACATGTGCTATGATAAACACCCTTATAATCATCATTAATGCTCTGCTTAGAGCCATTAATGTTTTCAACCACCGCTATTATTGCCTAGTCGAATGCATTTAATACTTGTGTTAGCAACTTGACATGCCACACCACAATAACGCATGGTGAAATGAAATAATTGACGCCGGAGGTGATTAGAGAAATCATGACCTACAACTTTTGGTACCAGGATTGTGTTTACCAGATTCATAGCAGACATTAAGGGCAAAACAAATTCATTTACTAACTCTGAGACGAGCATCCCTAGCTAGCTTCACCACAAATCATATTCGCTAGTTTACTTTTCATCCTTCATTCAGATCACCTCTTTAGGTTCCTCATATTTGTGGTTGATATCTTAATTTATTACATCTCGTTTAGTGCTCCAGTAACAAAACTCTACAAAGAGTATAAATTAATGTTGACCGCCAAATATCAATGGTCTAGAATCATCTAAAAATAATAGCGTGTACGTAAAAAAAAATCCAGAACATTTCTAATGCATATTTGGATCTTTTATCTTTGGGTACATTTAAATCAATAGTGATATAAAACTCAAGCAACAACACTAAATGAAAATTAAATAATATTAAATTTAAAATATAATAGTAACGGAGATGTGGTATTATTACATTGTGGCAACTCATTGTAATATGTTGTGACTAGGTGTTGCGCAAATGTACACCATATTGTTTTATGGGAATTATAGATATGGTATGTTGAAGCCCATGTGAAAGTGTCAGTAGAAAAGCCCGTGAACCCAATGCATTAATGAGAATATGTGGGCCATCAGTGGAAAAGCCCATGTGAAAGTGTCATTAGAAAAAGCCCGTGACTCCAATGCATTAATGAGAAATGTGTGGGCCAAAAAGCCCATGTGAACAAAGGACAAAAACATAAAATGGAGATTGCGGTGAACGTGGATCGAACACGTGACCTTCAGATCTTCAGTCTGACGCTCTCCCAACTGAGCTATCCCCGCTTGATTTCTTATCAGCACAACCAAAATTATATAAAAATAAAAAGAATATTTAAACCACAAGGATTATGGTTCCAAATAAATCTAATCAAGGTGAGTTAAACATAAACTCAGCAAGAGTGTTTTGACTCAACTTAGATTACTACAAGCTTAGAAAATTTAACATAAACTCAGTCCATGTTGTTTGTGAGTTGACTCAGCTCAAATCGTCAACTTGTGAAGGTTTGGGATTTGCCCCAAACTTTCTAATTTTAAAGGTAATTAGTCATACTATATTAAAAATTGATTTGTCCAGCATAAAGCATGAAGTGAAAGGTCAATAAGTATATGACAAAGTACTGGCATTTACACAAGTCCAGTCTAAGTAAATTATATTCAACCGAGCAACTGGTTAACTTATGTTTGGCAATAAAATCTTGAATTTTGGTGTTGAACGCGAGCGTGAACTCGGTGTAAATAAGGCTATGGAATAACTTATTTGGTGTAGTTCAGATGAGTTATTTCTACCCATTTGAAATAAGGACTTTTAACAATGAATAAATTTATGGCAAAAAAAAATAGAAACGAATTTATGAAATGATTTTTATGAAGTTGGAATTCAAGTACAAGGTTGAAAAAAATAACTGACCTACGGCAGAAGCAACACAGAAACGGAAATTACAGTTGAGTGCAGAAATTGTACAATGAGGGCAATGAACTCTCATTTAACCATATAAGATTGAGACAATATTTAACATTTTTTTACATGTCTAAAAAGTCAAATTAATCATTTAATATTTCTAGTAGCAATACTCTTTCGTTTATAATCATAAATTGGTGGCTTTGCATTGAAATACCCTAGTTGACTGTTTTTCCAGTCAATGCAATCTTGTTCCAAACTTGAATGTAGATGAACATTTAGAAACTGCTCGTAAGAATAATAAGCAAATTCCGACCATTTTTGCTAATAGAAGTATACAAAATAATGCATCTTCTCATTTATAATTTGAAGTGTCAAAATACAAAGCATTCAGAACTTCCAAGGCCCCATGAAAAGAGAACAATTAGGTAAAATCATAATCAAACAAATTCAATACTACATCATTATTAGGTAAAATCATAATCAAATAAAAATTCAATACTACAATGATGCTGCTCTGCAGCTAATCCTTAGCATAGCTAATTCGCTTGCCCATGGATAATGAAGCAGTTCGTTCATTCCTACACGTTTCCATCAACTACTATAACCATGGCTCAATAAATTTCCAGTGAAATAAAGAAAATGGACACAGACAAAAGGCAAACAATAGGCAGATTCTTCAGTATTATTGATTATAAGCAGCTGCAAGTACCAACCAAGTTGCAGACCACCTTATGCTTGGGGCTTCTCCCACTTGAGGGGCTTCACAACCTCCCATGTGAAGTCGGGGTCTTCTCTTCCGAAATGCCCGTACGCTGCCGTCTTCAAAAACCGGCCACCGCCACCCCTCTTGAGATCTAGGTTAATGGAGATCATTCCGGGCCTGAAATCAAAACTTTCCTTCACAATCTTGAGAATCTCCCTGTCTGGAATCTTTCCGGTGCCATAGGTGTCAACAAACACAGACAATGGCTCAGGCACACCAATGGCATAAGAGACCTGGACAATGCACCTGCGAGCAAGGCCACTGGCAACAATGCTCTTGGCGGCCTGCCTAACGATGTAGGCTCCACTCCTATCGACCTTGGTAGGGTCCTTTCCAGAGAAGGCACCACCACCATGAGCTCCCCAACCACCATAAGTATCAATGATGATTTTGCGACCAGTGAGTCCTGCATCACCATGAGGTCCACCAATGACGAAACGGCCAGATGGGTTGAGGTGGAAGATGGTCTTCTCATCCAGGTACTTCTCGGGGACCACGGGCTTGATGACATGCTCCTTGAGGTCAGCAGCAATCTCATCATTGGTCACAGTTTCATCGTGCTGAGTGGAAATTAGAACGGTGTGGACCCTAATTGGGACCATAGCACCGTTGTCGTTGTAGTACTCAACGGTGACTTGGGTTTTGCCATCAGGCCTCAACCATGGGCATGTTCCATCCTTACGCACTTCAGTGAGACGGGCACCGAGCTTGGTTGCAAGAACATGGCTGAGGGGCATCAACTCGGGGGTTTCATCAGTAGCATATCCAAACATGTGACCCTGGTCACCAGCTCCAATCTCCTCAGGGCGCTTGGTGAGGTGGCCATGGACACCTTGAGCAATATCAGGGCTTTGTTGCTCAATGTTAACTAGAACCTTGCAGTTGTCAGCATCAAGACCAACATCATCTGAAACAAATCCAATTGTGCGGCATGTGTCTCGTACAATCTTCTCGTAGTCTATCTTGCCCTTGGTTGTGATCTCTCCAAAGACCATGACCATATTGGTCTTGGTGCAAGTCTCACAAGCAACTTTGCTGTCGGGATCTTGTTCAAGGCATGCATCAAGCACTGCATCAGATATCTGATCACAGAGCTTGTCTGGGTGACCCTCGTTCACAGATTCAGAGGTGAATAGGAAGGTCTCCATTCTTCCAAGCTGCTAAACACAAAGTCATATACAACATATTCAATATTTGATTGACTAAGTACTTCATTCCATTAAGGGAAAAAGAAAAGGAAGAAAAGAACAGCTGGCCAGACAAATACAAAAGAAAAGGAAAAGAAGAAGAATATATCCATAGTATCTTATACATAACATTTAACATGTTAATGCTTGGAGTTATGCTTGATATGTACAGGAGAAGAATCCCATAACAGCACTTGTACATTCCTCAATTATTCCCATTCACATAGAAAATAACCGAGAAAGGACACTATAGCCCAACTACAGTTCCACCCTCGTTATGTAAAAAGTTGTTATCCACCACCGACAGATTTCATAGTACATTCTAGAGAGAGAAAAATCAAGAATCTATTGGTTTTGTATGAATTATTGCAACTACTTTAGCACTTTAACTTGGATAGGGAAACCAGAAAATTCTTCTCATTCACATGGGAATGCTGGATCATAGATCTAAAAGGAGATCTTATGACCCAAGGAAATAAAATTATGTATAAAATGGGTGTATTGTTCTAGCTAAATAAGGAAGTGCACTGAGCTCTTACAACTAAGAAATGATAACTCTACGGAGCGAAATCAGCAAGATGATTAATATATTGGTTAGAATTGTCCAGAAGATTATGCATTTATGACAAGCATCAATATAACCAGATCTATCAAATCTAACAGTTGCTCCCATAAAATTCAAAACAGAAGTTCAGTATTTGAGTAAAAAGCTTTCATATTCATACAGTTACAATTTTTTTTTTTTTTTTTATAGCAAAAACAGAGTTTCGACAAAAACATCAAGCAATTGACGAAAAGTGGGTGGCAACAAATAGCAAAAGAATTGACCGAAATATACTTCAAAATCTAGATCTATTCCAGATAACAAGTTGAAAAACAACATTATTCAAAAAAAATTATGCCAAAAACACACGATTTCAAGCTGCCATTCCAAATAAAAAGGCAATTAATTAAGTCTAAACGATTCAAATCACAGATAAGAGAAAAACTGAGATTAGATCCACTCAAATTAATCCATTTTTACAAGCATTGAGATCTCACACACACAGATCTGTAAACACTAACCGAAAAAAATTCAAAGTAAAACTGATCCATACTGTAAATTCATATCAAAACCAGTTCAAAGGGCAATAAATGAAGTACAAAATGTACCTGTAAGTATAAACCCTAGAGAGAGAGAGAGAGAGGGGGAGGAGAGATAATTGGGATCCCTTAGCAAAGAAATGCTTGCGACGCTTTCCCTCAGAGTTCGGGACCGTATATATAGACAAATGGTCGCGAACCCGAGTGTTTGGATCTTGACGGTGAAGATTTTTTTATTTTCCTATATTTATTTTTGTGGGGTCCAGATTAATTATGACCGTTGGATTGTTTGAGATGAGCGGCTGGGATTAAATAAAGTGGGTGGTGATAATGACAGATGGCAGCGATTTATCTTTTTTTTTTTTTCTTTTTTTTAATTTATCGTTTTCCGCGGTTTTGTGCGTGTTCCACTCGCGAGTACGCGTTCACCAACCCACGATCTGTCGGTTGGCTGGCTTCACGGCTTGGCTTTTCCGACTGTATGACTGGCTTGCTTGAATTAGGATTTTATGTTAATTATCGTTTGCGTTTTATATCGAAAATGTAATATTTACTTTTGGGCTGAGTCAGAAATTTAATTTAGGGACACAGTATAAATAATAATAATAATAAAGATGACAATAAATATAAATTCTTTTAAATAAGAGGCATAGAAAAAAAAAATTATTGCAAAATAATACATCAATCAATAATATAAAAAAGATAAATAATTGACAAAAATTATAAAAAGAAAAAAAAAATAAAAGAACTTTGAAAGGGAAAAATAATAGAGTTTGATTCAAAAAGGAAATTTTAAGTTTTTTTATAAAGAAATTAAACGAATTTAAAGAGTAAAACAAAAAATGAATAGAAACTTAAGAGATAATTTTAAAAAATAAAAATTTTCGAAAGGGAGGAACCTGGGGCATATTCAATTAAAATATTATTGAAAACAATAATCATCATGGATAAAATTTTAAATAATAAGAATATCACTTATCATTAAAATGCTGAACATTGAAAGTTGCAAAAAGATTTAATTTTTTTATTATTATTTGAAAACTTCAGTATTTAAAATTTAGTTTTATCAAACACCACTTTATATAACATAATTACATCCAACATCATTAAATTAAGCACGCAATATATTTATATTATTATTATATTTTAAATTTAATAATAGTGCATTCTCGATTTAATTAAATATTCGGAGTTTCAAAATCATCATGTTTTTATCAAGTTTTCAATCACATTTTGAAAGTGAAAAATGAGTTCATGACCTAAAAATGACAGTTATTTCTAGGAAAATAGTGAATGACAGTTATTTCTGTGAAGTTATGTGGGTAAACAGGGTAAAACAAATCAAATTATTTATCGGCATATAATGTATGTACAAACATATATTATGCATATAATGTACGTACAAACATATATTACGTACTACATAAATATTGTATTAAATAGGTATCCCAATCGAGGAGCTCCTATGAGGGAGAAGATATTGGGTGTACCGTTCATCGGGTTTATTCGACGTATAATGTACGTACAAACATATATTATGTACGCATAATTTAATTGAGTTGGTGCATCTCACGCTCTGTATACTTAATATTTAATCCTTAAAGATGGTGCAAGTCAATAAACAATTGATCCTTTCGTATCAATTAGTATTTTTGTATCATTATGACACGAATATTTTATGACACGGTTTACGGTTTGACATTAAATTGTTTTACGGTTTGACATTAAATTACTTAATTAATTATTAGGATCATTTCTAACAACGCGTTTAATTAAATAGGTGTAATTAATCGTGTTATAAATGAATTAGCAGGTCAAAAATAAATGTGACACATTTAATTAACATATCAAGTTTTGAAGCTAAAACTACTTAAAGTTATTATTGTTATTATTAGTATTATTTTCAAAAAGATGTGTGTTTAATTTATGTACATACTCACAGGAGGATTTTAATTTAGGAGACGTATTGTAGAAAAAAATCATAATTTAAATAAGAAGAATAAAAATAAAAAATTACATATCATATTCATCATTCTTAAGTGCAAAAAGAAGAATGTTAAGAGTTAAGAGGTAAGGGGCGAAAAAATAGAAGAAGAAAAAGGAAAGAAAAATGAGAAATTTGAAAAAAATAAAATAAAATAAAAATACGATTTTGAGTAAAGAAAGAAAATTTAACTTTTTTAAAGAAAATCAAAGGGATATTAAGGACAAAAGAAAAAGGAAAGAAAATAATTTTAGAAATTAAAAATTTTAGGGGAGCATTATATATAAATTTTCTAATAAAGGTACAATTTAAATAAAAATTACTATATTTTATAATGAGCAGGCCAGGCAAGGGGACATGTATCCCCCTAGGCACGACGGTCATGCATGCTTAATAAACTACTGAACAATGTCACTCTTAAATTTTGCATTATATACCAACTTATAAACTAAATGATGTAAGAATCGTAAGATAGATTATCGAGACCTATATAGACCGTCTGGATCAACAAAAACTCATTCCTAATTAAACACTATATGAGAAATTAAACTTACTATCTCGAGTTGTAACATACTCGTATGTTTTTTGGGCTAAATTTTATCATTTAGGTCTTTGTCTTTGTCAAATTTTGCAGTGCAAACTGTTTAATTTAAATCTATATATATATATATATATATATATTGAAGCTCAGATTGAGCTGGTTTATTATTATTATTATTATTATTATTATAGAATTATCTGATATAGTGATTAGATATTTATCCCATGCTTTCATAATTTTTAGAGATTATTATCTTTTGGCCTGGTTTATCTTCTGTGATTAGCAGTTTCCATTATCAGCAATAACACAAATTTTGTATTCCCTATCTTAATTTGTGGTTTTATAATAATTAAATTAATACGGAGTATAAAATTTTGATAGCTCTAAGTAAACAAAGTACTGATTCTACATACGTAATTAGTATTTTATAGAATTAAAAGATTACGGCAAAAAATAGTCTCATTCATTGTACAATGCTAGTAACGAGAGAATATTAATATATTAGTTCATGCATTAATGGTGATGCCCAGTTGCATGCATCACACATGCAAACTTATAGAATAAATACATATATAGATATGTGTATGTGTGATTCTGTATATATACACGTATATATATTTATGTGGCTCACATGTTGGTAGCCTGGCATCCACTGATTAGGCACAATTGACTTTAAATTAAAAAAAAAAAAATTATTAAATGTCATTTAGGGATGATCTTGAAAGAGAAATGTATATATATATATATACTGACTCTTCCCTGCATACCATATATATATATATATATATATATTTTTATAAAGTGGGAGCTAAACTGAGAGTTGTGTTATTGCATACTAAACTGGAATATTATTCATCACTGTGTAAATATGCCCGGCCTGCATAAATATATATATATACACGTATAAAAATTCATCACTGTGTATGTGTGATTCTGTATATATACACGTATATATATTTATGTGGCTCACACGTTGGTAGCCTGGCATCCACTGATTAGGCACAATTGACTTTAAATTAAAAAAAAAAAAAATTTATTAAATGTCATTTAGGGATGATCTTGAAAGAGAAATGTATATATATATATATACTGACTCTGCCCTGCATACCATATATATATATATATATATATATATATATATATATATATATATATATATAATATATATTTTTATAAAGTGGGAGCTAAACTGAGAGTTGTGTTATTGCATACTAAACTGGAATATTATTCATCACTGTGTAAATATGCCCGGCCTGCATAAATATATATATATATATACTGACTCTGCCCTGCATACCATATATATATATATATATTTATAATATATATTTTTATAAAGTGGGAGCTAAACTGAGAGTTGTGTTATTGCATACTAAACTGGAATATTATTCATCACTGTGTAAATATGCCCGGCCTGCATAAATATATAAATTCTATATATTATAAAATTCGAAAGGGTACCAACAATGTTTAGATTGTAATAATTATCACCTCAAAAGAAACAAAATATATTAGAAAATCCAAAACTATAACTGTTTGAAAATAAAAATATTCCTAAATTATTTATTTCTCAATCTTTATCTTTTTTACATATCTCATTTCTTCATGAAATGAATCATTGTCAAGTGTCAATTCTTTTAATTCTTCCATCGCAAAGTATTGTCTATCTTCACCAGAAAAAGAAAAGATTTCCCTTTGCAGTTTGTCACTTTGTTGCTAAATTCATTCATGTCCTGCAAAAAGAAGAAATATAATTTAGAGTTATTGAGAAATTCAAGTAAGTATTTTTTTTTTAATTTAATTAAAATTTTATGAATAATGGTGGGAAATTACCTCAATTTGATATTGTAGTAAATCATATAGTGAACAATTTATTAATGTTTGGCAATCATTGAACACTGTTAGGGTTGCTAGTGTTGCAATATGTTACATACTTCACACTTTAATTATTATCATAAATGCATGAGTAAAGACAGAATTATATATTTATAATATTATTAAACCATTGAAATAAATACAATAATAAGGTTTTAGGATATAATAATACTCTTGAATGCATTTTGAGTCTATTGTGTTGCATCGAGGACAGTATACTCTATCTTTTTCAACTTTTATTTTCTTATTGCATTTCTCACAGGCGTCGTACCATGGTTCGCAGTCATTAATTGTAATACCCCGATATTTTAAAAAGGATTTATTAATTAAATTAATTTATATTATATTATTATTATTTTTTTTTTAAAATGATTTGTTTTATTTAATTAGGTGCTTGACAGTTGTGATTTGTTTTATTTAATTAAGTGCATAGGTAAATTGTATTATTTTAATTAAATTATATTTTGTAATTTTATTTGTTAAATTTATATGGTGTTTGATTTGTGGAATGCTAGTTAGTGAATTGTTTATTTGATTTGCGTGATTTTATGTTGGTGTAACTTTATTGTTAATTATTGGTAGCTATTAAATTTAATTTCATTATTTTAGGTATTTAAGTTATTTGGATTGGGATTAAAGGAAGTTGGACCAACGGATGTGGTATTGGGCTTGGAGGAAGCCTTGTTGGGTTAATTAGTAAAGGCCCATGGGTGTGAGGATATTTAATAATTATCTTTGTATAATTATACCTATATAATTATATGTGTATAAATTTAATTCATTATTAAATCATGTTGAGGGGTATATATGTCA